AACATGTAATTAACTTTGTGTTAATCACTTTTTTAAAAAAATTCATTTAAACTTTTTTACATACTTGGGAGAATAAAGCAATGAAAGAAAATGCATAGCAAAGATCTTGTACATATAGACAAAGATTTTGTTGACAAAAATCTTTACACTGTACACTCTTTTTAATGGTAATGGTAGGGGTAGCCATTTTCATACAAGAAACAATTGACATTCATCAGCTGAACTGTTCATATTATTGTTCATTGACATTTTATAAAATCATTCCTTTATTTCTTTTTTTTTTTATTATCCAGGGAAATAGACTTTTCAAGTCCACTGTGATTGCTCTTTCTAATATTGACAGGAGTTTCCTTCCTATCCTTTTGTTTAAGTGTGAATAGTCAACATCTTGACTATATCATTATTTTCACTTCTAGTTATACATGCTATCCACTTTAGTTGTTGATGCCATTGGAAGTCTTCAAGTAATCTGGTTTTTATTATTTGGTAAAGTTCTTTGTTTATGGTACTATAGCATCAGTCCAAGATCTGATGAAGGATTGTCTTTTTGAAGACCTTTTGAAGGAGTCATTTGCTTGATGCCATAGAATTAAATTTTCTTTCAATCTTTAATCTCTGATATTCTTCAAATGACTCTTCTGTCAATTTCTTGGTATGGAGAAAAAAAATGATTTCCTTTACCCTAATAACCAGGGTATGTAATTACCAGCATAATCTGTTCGTGAAAATTTGGAATAAGGGTGTCATACCTTTATTATTATTATATTTTTTTTTTTTTTTTTTTTTTAGACTAAAATTCACCCAGTCCATGTCTTGAGAGCCACTCAAACAGAGTTACTGACGAATGAAGTATGTGATATGAATGAAAGAAGTGCTAAGAAGTGAACATGATGAGGATAAGGAGGATAGATGATGATTGAACTAAGACTTGAAGAAGTTCAGGATGTAGTGTACAAGGAAGCACTTATGCGGGTAGTGGGGGGGTCTGTTCCACAAAGTGTCAGTTCTTTGGAAAAATCTGTGGAACTTTCTCTTTTTACATTTGGAACATAGAGGAAATGAAAATGATTTCAATTTTGTTGAAATAGCATGACTTGTCTGAGCAGTAAAGGCCTGAACTGGTGTCTCTAAAGACAGGTGCTCATCTAAATATTTGCCATGCAAATAGTGATAGACTAGCAACAGGCTTGCAACATTGTGTCTACAGGGAAAGAGGTTGTAGGGTGGAATATAACCCACCCCCCACTACAAGACCGTGTAAATGATTTTGAACTGTCAAGACTAGAAAATGAGGATTGTGCAGCCTCAGATAGGGCAGCAATATTCCGTTTTTGATCTAATCTGACTCTTATAAAGCATGGCAGGAGGAGTCAGGTACTTTCTTGTGTCTTACTAAAGAACCAACCATTTTTCCAACATCTTTAGCAATGGATCATATATATGAGACCCACTTTTGAGGTCTGGAGTGAACTAGAGACCCAATAAACGTTCAAAGCATGGAGCCTCATTGGGGATGGGGAACCATTCATCGTAACTGGAGAAAACTGTGGACAATGATGAAATGATACTAGCTTGATATTTGAAGCATTGAAAGTTATAAGCCGGTTATTTCCCCTTTGAGCTGTTTGAACCCAATCAGAAAAGAGATCCGCTATAAGGCCCTCATCAGCTTGGTTTCTAGATGTGAATTCTTAAATGACGGCATCATCTGCATAGATATTTTCTAATGATCTGGTAATGTTTCTAGGCAGATTTGCTAATAAGAAGCAGAGAAATATAGTAGGAACGAGCTGAGAACTTGGGGTGGGGATTGCATTGATCTCATGGTTGGCTAATCTCAACAACCTTTATGGACTTATACAAGAGAAAGGGCTTGAATATTGCATAAATTCTTTCAGAGCTGCCATAGCTGAAACATTTCAGCCAAACACAGCCCCCCCCCCCCAGTACCACTGCCTTGTCAAAAGCTTTTGAGATGTCTAAGGCAATTACTCTTGTAAGAAATCGTTTCAATGAATATCATATTTGATCTTTTAATGCCTTCATCTACCAAATTCAACGATATAGTGAGCTGACTATTTTTCCAGCCTCTTAAGCAATCGGTTGAGACCCAACAGACATTCAAAACAGGGAGCTTCATTGAGAGGGTGGGGCAGTTCATTGTGACTGGAGAAAACTTGGGAGTCTGAACCTGACATAGTTATTTGAAACTAATCTTGTAAAACTGAACTCTGAAGAGAAGTCAACCGTTCTGGAAATGTCTGATGTTGGATTACTTTGAGTAAAGGACAGAATTTTCTTCTTTTCTATGTGCTATTTCCCTTCACACCATTGGTTATCATGGCTTTCCACAATTTCCTGTCCTCTGTAGGTTGTAAATTCTATCTTTTTCTTTTAAACTTTGTTCTGCCATTCATTTACTCAAACTCACTTAGGTTATGCATCGTTTTCTTCTCTCCATCTTCAATCTATCCTGTGAGTATCAAATTTTCCAAGCCTTCTTTCTTCATTTTGCCCTAGAATTTTTAACTGCTTCTTTCTGATGTTTTGTGTAAGTGTCCATCTTGTTTTCATTTTCTCTAAAACTTTGTCGATCCATACATAGTATTCTCAGCATCCTTCTGTAGAACGACATTTCTGTTGCTTCAAGTCTCTTCATCTGTAAGAAGATTATCCAGCATTCATTGCTATATTGCATGACTGATATTACATAACACTTCAGCACTCTATTCTTTGTTTTTCATGAAATTTTCCTGTTTCTTAATATTTTGCTTAGCTTTTGAAAGGCATTTTTCACTATCTCAATGTGCTTTCAGATTTCAGTGTGACACATTCCATGCTCTGTTAAAACACTTCCCAGATATTTAAATTGTTGTACTTGTTTGATTTTGGCATCCCCAATTTGTAATTTGCATGTTGGGCTGTTCCTTTTGCTAGCAACAGAATACATGGTATGTATTTGATGCTTTTTTTCCTGCCAGTTACTGTTTATGAAATCAAACCCCTTTCACCCCAACAACTGCTATAACTTTCTCATCATATACATATATACAAAGTGCTTGTTTGCAGATATATACTTATATAGGGTTATTTTTCTTAATGAGACTGCATTTGATTGCCTCAGATAAACCATTTAAGTACACAATATTAAGGGAAAAAATTATTGTAACATACATCAAATGTTACTTTGTCATGTTCCCTATTTGACTTGGCTCATAGCAATTTCTTATTGAAGAGGGAGATTTGTTTTTCTATGCCATCAAATATGTCTCCACTTTTTTCCTTGAGGTGTTGGTATTATGCATCAGTGGCAAAACATCGAAAGCATTTCCAAAAATATACAATAAAATGTACGAAAATTGTTTTTTGAATGCACTTTAAAAAAAGGAAACCAGTCTATCATATACGTGCATGTATCTTATAAGCTGGCAAACATTATGTGATGACCTTAAGAAGTTTTCTATCCCACCTCTTTCCATTCCCCCCACCCCCCATAGGTATTTACACGTTCCCTTGTATTTATCTTCCTGCCTACTATGTTAGTCTTGCTGATATTTCCAAAACAGAAAATTTGTTGCTAAATCTGGCTCTGATGAAAAAGGTTACAAATTTCTAATGTGAACATTTTGGCATCAGTTAAAAAGCATCTTCAATGACCTGTCTTCAAATGTCAAGATATCATCATGAGGATATTTTTTTTTTTTTTTCTTTTCAGATGCAGTTACCTAGCTTGGTGATTCATTGTTTTAATATTCATTTTATGTAAATATATTAAACTTGTGCAATAAAAAAAATCTAATGCCAAAATTATTTAATGAGGTCAGTTTAGTAATGCTCATAAAGCCCAGCGTACTATCACATCATAAAAAGGTGTGATACTATGAACACCAATTTAGAAAGGGAAGAGGGTGTTTTATCTCGATCTCGGATGTTTGTTTGATGACCTAGCCAATGATTCCCTTGAAGTTCAGTCTTTTACATGGCTGACCATAGGGGAATGGGAAATAAAGGAGTTGATTAGGAGATTTTAGAGATCAAATGCCAACAAAGCCGGAATTAGGGTATATCTGGCTGCTGGTCTATGTTAACAGTCATACTTGGGCTAGGGGAGTGTTCTAGTTTGCCCTTAGCAAGAGATGGATTTGTCTGTCATATAGTTATTGTGCTAACTATTCATATTGCCAGCCACCCTGCTGGGGTGAGTGGATTGTTAAGGAGTTGGTAGGGGGAAAAGCTGAAATGTTAAACTAACATAGTTGTTCCATATATTATCCATCCTCTGTTTTGGGTATGACGATAAACCACACTTGACATCAAAGTCTCTGATTTTGAGGAGTGTAGAACCACCTCTTGCTTGTTATTGTTTCCAGGTACACTTTGACCCAGTGTGGTAGTACCTGTTAGGGTCCCAGCTATGGGCAAATTGTGAACTCCAAAACTGGGACCAGAACATGAAAATATAAAAATACATTAGAAAAAGTTACCAGCAATATATTTTCATAGTATATAAAAAAAATTCCTAACAATACATTATTGAAAAAAAAAAATTATTAAAGCTCACAAGAAAATAAAATTTTGACATTAAATGACACATAAGTTGTTATGCTGTTAAACAAACAAAACAAACCTGTCCACCCAGAGGAGCAGGCAAAAGCCCTGAATAAAACATCTATTTTATAATATGGGTAACAAGGTTCATGCCTCACACTGTTTCTCTGGTTTCTATGCACACTGATGAGATTGAGAATTGAAATGCAACATGCAATAATCATTGGCCAGTCGGAAAACTTGGGCAAGGGTTACGTTGGTCTTGGAGCTTGGCTGAATATTGTGTTGCGATGTTTGGCAGTAAGAGGAATCAGTAAGTCGTCCTTGTCTTGGTGTTGTATTATCTGCAGAAAACACAAGGTATTAACCCATGAATTTCACAAATTCTCTCTTTATTTGTTTTACAGGTACTGGTGCTATCGACTGTGGTGGGTCTGTACTGGTTGGTCGCCATGATGGACATTGAGGAGACGCCGTCGGTTGCCCAGTACTATGAAGGGAAATGTATGTTTGTCACTGGGGCAACAGGCTTTATCGGGAAAGTCCTCATCGAGAAACTTCTGCGCTGCTGCCCAAATATCCGCTCTATTTACCTTCTTATGAGGCCCAAAAAAGGACAGACCATTGAACAACGACTTGAAGACATGGTACAGAACAGGGTAGGTCACAAATTTTGGTTGCTTATTTGCTTGTATAATCACTTTTTTTTTTCTTTTTTTTTGTGCATGTGTTTTTTTTGTTGTTGTTTTTATCCATTTGTAAGTCTTCTTTGATCATGCAGTACTTCAGTTGAATAAACGTATGTTCTAGATCAGGTGGGAAGTTGAAACTAGGATCCATTGATAGCATTTGACATCTTGAGCCATGCTGTAGGTGAGGGTCTTTTGAATAAGTGGTAAAAATGAGTTTTATATCTCCTGTCTTGATCAGGGCAGTGAGAAGTTTCTGTCTCAATTTCTGGGACGAGGAGTTACCATTATTTACATGCAGACTTTAAGCAGAGGATCAGGATTGAAATTGCAATTATTTATGAAATGTTGGAACAAAGGGTAATGCAAAAACTAGAATGGATTCCCTGCTCAAGCCAAGTTGCAGAAAGCATAACTATGAGAGGAGTCTCCCAACAAAATTCTGGATCATATATGTGAGTCTAGAATATCTCCTCCATAAGACAGCCACCACATTACCAAGGTATGCCTTACACTTCATTTATTGGATACAATTTCTGTTGCACAACATCTAAAAACACATTCCTGACCACTTTCACAATACAAGAAAATACAGATTAACAATACCATGAAAATAATAAACAAAAATTTCAAATTCTAGAGGCCCTCTATATCAAAAGCAATCAACAAACACTCAACAAAATTTGTTATGAGTGTAGCAGCAATGTGTTGAAGTGCATATAACAAACATTTAATGCCATTTTTGTTATTCTACAAATATATATGCTCTCTCTCTCTCTGTGTGTGTGTGTGTGTATATATATATATATATATATATATATATATGTGTTTTGAACAATAAAAATATTAAAAACTTAAAATTTTCACACACACACACACACTGTGTTGTATATTAAAATATTTTAGTTTTATTATTTCAATTAGGTTCCTCGACTAGTTTCGGCCAGCATCAGGAGAAAAGAAATTCTACTTATATATATATATATATATTCAGTGGTAGAGACACTAGAAAATCAATGAAACTTAAGCTTTAGAGTCCCTAATCCTAGAGGGACTCTTAAAGCTATATTTTTTAAGGCTTGAATTTTTCAACAAAGATCTGTGTGTGTTTTTTGGTTTTTTTTTCTTAAGTGTTTATTAAAATAGTCATTTTAATGAGAGAAACATTTGTTCCTGTGTGATCACCAAAGTTAAGCAACAGCAAGCCTGGGCAGTACCTAGATAGGTGACTGCTTGGAAATACCAGCTGTTGTGAGCTTGTATTTGCAGGTAAGGTAATTGATAATGGCTTGCAATTGTTAATCAGAGAGCTGAGGTACAATTCCCATTGGGTTTGTTATATTCACTTATATACAAATACCTTTGAGAAAGGTATAAATCCACTTCTTTCCCCCAGCTATGGGTTAATTAGTAAGACTTGTATCACTAAACAATAATTATCTCCAAAAATAAAATAAAATTACACACAATATTTACAATTTGGTATTAAATGTCCCCTGGAGGTTGCTATGCTGCAAACCAAAACAATTAACCAACTATATGTCAATGACTTGAAGTAGTTAATGTTGGTATTAGAATATGCTCTAATGACAATTTCATATGGCCTCATAATTTCCCTGTAATTAGTCAAATTTAAAAAAAATTTTTCTTGGGGATTATCAGCCCCACCGAACACACAGCTGAGTTACACTATGACTCTACAATCATATATGATGCTGAATTAAAAAAAAAATATTTGAGTTTTCTGGGAGACAGCAGAACGTGCCTCGGGCAATTGCGGGAGACTCGCAGAACGCACCTCGGGCAATTGCGGGAGACTACTTGAGAACGCACCTCGGGCAATGGTGGAGACTACTTGAAGCACCTCGGGCAATTGCGGGAGACTCGCAGAACGCACCTCGGGCAATTGCGGGAGACTCGCAGAACGCACCTCGGGCAATTGCGGGAGACTCGCAGAACGCACCTCGGGCAATTCTTTGCTGAGGAAAAACATTGTTCTGGGCACTTGGCTGAAAAATGTTAAATCTGGTGTTGAAAAGGGAAAGTAAAAAATAATTGCCTTTTTAGTTTCATGCAATAAACATGCTTATTGGCTTAAGCAAGTATTTACTAATCTTGGCATTGTCTGGCTTGGTAAATACAGCTGAGAATATTTTGTTTATATACAAATAAGGGTTTCCTAAAACCGCTGCTTGTTTGATTGTTACCAATTACTAATATAGTAAATCTTTTATGCACACAAGTTTAACTTTTATCACTCTGCATTATTCAGTAAGTATTACTTCCTTTTCCAGTGCAATTTTTTTCAAAACTAGTCAACTGATGGCCTTGAAAAATAATCACTTTATTGATTTCAGTTAAGTTCATTTTCTGTTGCCCTAACAGGATATAACACAACCATGAAACTCAAAGTCAATCTTATTTGTTGGTTGGAAATGCCCAAGACGAATGTTTTGCTTAGCAAAAGTCTCTACAGAATGCTAAAGGTTAAAAGGCAACAATTTCCAGTCAAACTTGTCTTGATAAAAACCAATCTCTGGATTATTTCTGTAGATAATTGTCGTAATAATTACACATTGCTAACAATGGTTTGGAACAACTTGAAAATCATTGTAAATGTCCTCATTGTAATCTCACTCTATGACTAATTGCAGTAGCAGCAAAAAGCGTGTGACTAATGATATCATTTTGTATAAAGTGCCATCCAAATTATTTACCACGACCAATTAGAATTTAAACACCTGTCTTTTAACAGATTGAGACTAAATTAGCAACAATTATTGTAAATCAAATTCTTTGCCATGAGAATTAAGACAAAGATGGAGAAGAAACTGGAAAATTCAAGCTCCAGCTTAAACTTTAAACTAAAACTTCCTTTATTTTCATTTTCTTAACACTTTTACTACACACTGGGCCGGCTTACATAATAATAATATTAAATAATAAACTCTATTTATTAGATTGCTAATCAGAATGGTTGGCAAAACATCGACTAATTGCTAATCAATTCAAACTTTGTAAAATTCCAGCATCATCCCAATTCCAAAAAGGTATGTCTACGTAGAGCAAGTTAGAGGGGTTTCAAACATACAGCCAGACAGAATTTGCCATTTTAGATATTGTTTATTAAAATGGTTGACAAAATATTGGCTGATTGCAAATTGATTCAAACTTTATAAAATGTTAAATAATTAGGATTTCTTTATTGTTGGTTCACATATTTTAAGAAAATATTTATGAATTGGTAAATGATAAATAATTCATTGCGTTAGTTTTAATTGTATTTTTAGCATGCTGTAAACAAATTATTCCTGTAAATAAACAATCTAATAAATAGTGCTTAATATTACTATTGTAAATTCTCAAGAACAAAGAAAATGTATAAATTCACTTTCATCAGATGTTTAGGCTTTATTACAATTCTAATCATCACTTTTTAAAAGAATAAACATTGCCGAGGAGTGAAGTATAGTAGTGTCAATGGAAAATCTGTCGTTTTGATACAGCGTTTTTTTTGTAGGCATGAAAGTCCAAGTTTGCTGAAATCTCTCGTTATCAATTCTAACTCATTTTCAGATGGAGTACAATTTGACTTTTGTTTCCTTTTTAGCTTTTTGATAAATTACGGAAAGAACGTCCAAACTTTGAGGATGTCTTACGGCCAGTGCAGGGAGATATAATGGCAGATAAGCTTGGTGTCAGCGAACATGACAGTCAACTGCTGGCAGAGGAGGTTGAGATAGTATTTCACAGTGCAGCAACTATCCGGTTCGATGAACACATCAGGTAAGAAGCTTTCTTGTGGATCCATGATTTTTCAGATTACTCAATGCTGATACTGTCATCTATCTTTCTCTGAAATGGGGTTGTTATATAAATATATGACCACAGCCATTGGTCATTTTGTTGCAGAATGTGGAGGCCAGAGCTAGAATAGTCAGCGATTGGCCAGAGTGACTTGTGAACAATGATGGATTGCCTTTGTCTGGGTTTTGAATATAAGTCCAAAATGATGTAAATTCAACAGAGGGTTGGAGAATTCTGATATGCCGATATGGCTCCCACACTGGCTAATACCACCTGCAGGGGGATGCTGAGTCAACATGCAACATGTGTTCCTGTCACGTCAGTCCAGGTACTATCTCTTAGAATCCAAGCTGCCAGGGTAATAAATGAATACCAAAAGTAAATGACCTTTTTCATTGATAATATTTTTATTAATAGTGTAGAGATCCCAAGACAACACGGAATACAATTTTCTCATTGAGTAGCTTCACCTTACGATGTGTTTTTTTTTGTTTTTTTTTATTCTCTTCTGCAAAGATGTGGATAACAACTGGGAAAGGTCTGGGCTACACTACAGGCCAAAAGTTTGGGACCATTTTCTGGATTATGTAAAATTGCCTAAAGCTTGGGTATGAAAACTGGTGGAGCTGGAGAAAGTGGGCCAGACACTGTCTCGGAGGATGGCCATGATATCAAATGTACAATAATAAATTGTCTCGGCCTCAGACCGCTTCATCTAGAACACTGCCCTGGTCTGGAGGCTTAAAAAAATCAATGAAACAAATGTTATATTATTTAAATGAGGGTCCTTATTTTAGTGCCATTTAATATTTGGAACTTTCTTCATGGCAATTGTTTCTTGACAAATTAAGCAAACAGATTTTCTGAAGTGCTCAATGAAAAAATAGCTAAGGGGTCAAGCTTTCGTTAAAATTTTCTGCACTCAAAATCCACTTTTCTTTTCTTAGTTTCCATGGGTTTGTTTTTGTCTGAACAAGAACAAGCTTCTGGAAAGGACAGAAAAAAAGTACAGTAATCGGTTGAAAGAAATAAAGTACAGTAATCGGTTGAAAGAAATAAGAAACAATCAGAACAGATGTGGATACAAATTCACTAATATCGTATGATATTTGTGACCAAACTGTGATCAAGCCATTATATCTAATGATGTCGTTAGATCAGGGATGCTATTTTTTTTTTTTTTTTTTTAAACCAATTTTGTCCTAATTGTAATAATACTTAACACTATTTATCATAAATATTAATTATTATCAAAAAATCTGAAATTGTGAGAAAATGTTAAAAATGTATTTTTGCTATTAGGTCAGGTGGAATTTTCTCATTTTTCTAATTGTTTTGATTTTAACAAAACTCTTCCTTTGAGGGAAGGTGTAAAAAGACCAAAATTCTTTTTAAATTATATTCTTTTTTGAGGAAAGTAGCCTGAATCAGTTATTTTGTCGGAAGAAAGAAAGAAATTTAAAGACCACAGTGCCACCAGAAATTTTGCTTGATTTGGCAGATCACAGTGTACACAATGAAAATGCTTATGTGCTATTTAGGAATACGTCAGAAAATATGAAAATGTTCCTCTTTTTTTTCTTTTGGTCTTTCTTTTTTTTTTTTTTTTCTGTCTTTTTTCCTGTCATTCTTCATTTTGTTTTCTTCCTTCTGTCTATCTTTTCCTTCATTTTGTTTTCTTCCTTCTGTCTATCTTTTCCTTCATTTTGTTTTCTTCCTTCTGTCTATCTTTTCCTTCATTTTGTTTTCTTCCTTCTGTCTATCTTTTCCTTCATTTTGTTTTCTTCCTTCTGTCTATCTTTTTCCTTCATTTTGTTTTCTTCCTTCTGTCTATCTTTTCCTTCATTTTGTTTTCTTCCTTCTGTCTATCATTTGTTTTTTTTCCTTCATTTTGTTTTCTTCCTTCTGTCTATCTTTTCTTTCATTTTGTTTTCTTCCTTCTGTCTATCTTTTTCCTTCATTTTGTTTTCTTCCTTCTGTCTATCTTTTCCTTCATTTTGTTTTCTTCCTTCTGTCTATCTTTTTCCTTCATTTTGTTTTCTTCCTTCTGTCTATCTTTTCCTTCATTTTGTTTTCTTCCTTCTGTCTATCTTTTCCTTCATTTTGTTTTCTTCCTTCTGTCTATATCTTTTCCTTCATTTTGTTTTCTTCCTTCTGTCTATCTTTTCCTTCATTTTGTTTTCTTCCTTCTGTCTATCATTTTTTTTTCCTTCATTTTTTTTTTCTTCCTTCTGTCTATCTTTTCCTTCATTTTGTTTTCTTCCTTCTGTCTATCTTTTCCTTCATTTTGTTTTCTTCCTTCTGTCTATCTTTTCCTTCATTTTGTTTTCTTCCTTCTGTCTATCTTTTCCTTCATTTTGTTTTCTTCAGTTTTTATTACTTTCAGTATTTCTTTCTGACAGTGTTTTTTATTTCTTTTACTCACTCTTTTTTTTCTTCTTTCAGTTTGTGATTCTATTTGTTTGCTTCTTTTTTCTCTCTCTCTTTTGCTCCTTCTTTCTCGCACATCTTTCTTTCTTGCCCCCCTCTCTTTTGTTCCTCCATTCTTGCCCCCCTCTCTTTTCTTCCTTCCTTCTTGCCCCCTCTCTTTTGTCCCGTCCTTCTCGCACCTCCCTCTCTTTTGTCCCGTCCTTCTCACACCTCCCTCTCTTTTGTTCCTTCATTCTCACACCTCCCTCTCTCTAACCTATTACTATAATATGTTGAAAGTGGTTTTTGCAACTATGAAATTACTTAATAGAAATTAATGCTTATTCCAAATTATCATTAATCGTTTCGGAAATACCAGTAACCTTGATAACGTATGTAAGCATATTTACAATTACAAAATTACATATTTCTTTGTGTATATTTTATTAGCTGAACTCTTATGGAATTCTGTATAATTTCACTTGAGATTCTTCATTCGAAGAATGTTTCATTAACTCCCAAATAATTGTTAAATCAGTGATAAGTTGACCTTTCCCAATAAACCCTAAAGTTGTCACATATTCTGTTCATTTGATTTATTTTCATTACTATTCGTATTGTTTGATAAATTTCACGACTGATAACATGTCTATGCTTGAAGACAGCCAACCTCGACGCTTGTTACTTTAATGTTATTTTATTATATACCGTCCTGGGTAAGACGATAAACTACGTCCAACAGCAAGGTCTCTGATCAGGAGGTTTTGAGGAGCATGGAACCACCTCTTAATTGCTGATATTCCCAGGTTCACCCTGACCTGGAGTGGTAGCACCTGTTAGGGTCCCAGCTATGGGCAAATAATTGACCCCAAAACTGAGGTAAAAAGCATTATAAAAGTGTAAAAATAAATTTTAATACCAGAAATACTTTGTAAAAAATTATTACCAGCAATACGTTTTTGAAAAAAATATTATCAGCAATACATTTTTTTTTTTAAATTATATTACCAGCTATACATTGTTGAGGAAAAAAATATTACCAGAAATAGATTTTTGACAAAACAAAATATACCAGGAAAAAAAAAAGTTGTCAGCATTAAATAATCCATTGAGGTTGATATGCCATAAAACACACCAAACCAAACCAAACCATATATATATATATATATATGACTGGTAATCATTTTGCTAATAGTTTTAATACACCTTGCACTTTGACAAGTATTTGGAGATTATTCCCGACTTTGAGTTTGATTCTCACTGAGTGCCCCATATTAAATTCAACATGAAATAATCCAACAAGTGCTGACATGTCATAAAATCAAACCACCTAACTCGGCATAGAGTAATGGCTAATGAGGCTAGTCTGGTTGACCATGAATACTGAGTAGTGAGTTTGATCCTCACTGGGTGCCCCATACAAAATACAACTTGAAATAATCCAACAAGGACCGACATGTCATAAAACAACCAAGCTTGCTCTTGTGTATGTTTATGAGGGTACTGAAAGCGTCTTGGCCCATTTATGAACAAATTCAAAAAAAAATTTTCATATTTGTTAATTTGGCTACATCTGACAATTTGGGGAGCCAGTCAGAAAGAACCAGCAGCATACTGTTGGATGTGTGTGTGTTTGTTTTTATCATTTCACCCCAAGCAAGGCAATAAAGCCACTAAGACACAAGGGGTTACTGTTTGTTAAGGAGTATGTGAAAAAAAAAAAGTTTTATTAAGGAGGGAGAATAACAAAAGAACAAGAACGAAAAAGACAGAATATTATGATTGACATTGCATTTAAATTTTTGAAGATTGTGTGTGTGTGTGTGTGTGTGTGTATACACAAGTGTCGAAACAAGTTTGAAAAAGAACTGACAAGGTCTATCTATAGAACTTTTAGATTTCTCCAATTTTCAGATAGTATTGAATATTGTATGTGAAGTTGTTTGAAATTCATATTTTGTTATTTTTGTTAAAGAACTTTTACTTATCACAGTTATTTTCAAGAACCAATGTGGTATTCGTGCGGTAGTCAAAATTTTAAATACCATGCAGACACCACATTGGTTTTTGATAATTTAATCATTTATCCAAAAACTCTGAGCACATTACTCAACACCTTATCTGAAAATTGAAGAAATAGAAACATACACACACACACACACGTGTTGTTAGTGGTTGTAGTCGCAATGTGTGTCTCTTGTTCGCTACAGCAGTCACTGTTCTACCTGTTGTCTTATTATGCACTTATTTTATGTCGTCATTGAGAGCTGAAATTTACACATGTAAAAAGAGACTCTTACTTTGGGATCTATCCATTTTAAATATATAACCTGCAAAGCCACCATTTGCCTTTTGGGTCGATTTACATACGGGACACGTTCAAATTTGTTTTCATCTTGGAGGTAAAGCTTTTTCTCTGATGTTACATTGACTGTTGCAAAAAATGCCTGCAACCCTGGGACTCTTTGTTACAGTGGTTAAATATTATTTTATTCTTTATCAAAAATTTGTTTTATTTATGTTGTCCATTGTCATTGAATGTCGTGTAGGTTTTGCATTCTGATAGAATTATAAAGGAATGAATGGCCGTAAGGTAAATTGTGATAGCCTTGTAAGGAAATGTCATACACGCCATTGATATAGAAGTAGATATGAATGGATTTCTTAATTTAATTTACATAAAAAAAGTTAAATGACACGCTTTGTAAAACGCAATAATAAACTTGTCAAATCGGAAACCCATGCAGAGTGTTGACAGTATGTGGGTTATGCAATATTTATGTGGAGGGGGATTAAGCTTAATCTGGTCATTAATCTCTAATTTGCTGCGGATTCTAAGTACAGCTATGGCTTTGGGACATTTTTCTCACAATTCTCTCCTCACCTTCTTCCTCAATGACAGACTGATTTTCAAGAAGGTCCTTTGTGTCTACTGCATTTGTTTACCCACCCGCTTTTCTTATTTGATTTATATTATTTTAACTTCTATTACAAATTGAAATAAACACCCTAGACTACCAAACTTGTACGTAGGCTCACTCCATGATGCTGCAATATTAAATGTAAATAGCGGAGGGATCTGGTAGGCTAATGTTTACCCAGATGCTTTACAGCTATATCAGGTTGAAACACTAGATCTCATATGAACACTGAAGTTAAGCAACATCAGTGCTGGTCATTACCAAGATGGGCGACCATTTTGGAATAACAGTTACAGTAAGCTTGCATGTGCAGTTGGTGTAAAGAATAATGGCTTGGAATTGGAATTCAAAGAGCCAAGTTCCCGTTCCAGTCAGGTTTGTTTTATTCACTTACATGCAAATACGCTTGGGGAAGGATATGAATTCACCTATTTTTTTTCTCAGCTATCAGATTGTTAGCAGGACTTTTATTGTCATCATTCACTTGCATTGGGATCATCATCCTCTATCTTATTTGCTTTCTCTCCTCTAGTGATGGTGGCGGACAGGGCTGTGAAGGCACAGCCTACTCTTTTTCTCCCTCTTCCTTTTCTCTCTCTCTCTGTTTTCTCCCTCTTCCTTTTCTCTCTCTCTCTGTTTTCTCCTCTTCCTTTTCTCTCTCTCTCTGTTTTCTCCCTCTTCCTTTTCTCTCTCTCTGTTTTCTCCTCTTCCTTTTTCTCTCTCTCTGTTTTCTCCCTCTTCCTTTTCTCTCTCTCTCTGTTTTCTCCCTCTTCCTTTTCTCTCTCTCTCTGTTTTCTCCCTCTTCCTTTTCTCTCTCTCTCTGTTTTCTCCCTCTTCCTTTTCTCTCTCTCTGTTTTCTCCCTCTTCCTTTTCTCTCTCTCTCTGTTTTCTCCCTCTTCCTTTTCTCTCTCTCTCTGTTTTCTCGCTCTTCCTTCGCTCTCTCTCTCTGTTTTCTCGCTCTTCCTTCGCTCTCTCTCTCTGTTTTTCTCTTCTTTTTTCTCTCTCTCTCTCTCTTTTCTCGCTCTTCCCTTCTCTCTCTCTCTCTGTTTCGCTCTTCTTCGCTCTCTCTCTTTTTCTCTCTCTTCCTTCGCTCTCTCTCTCTGTTTTCTCGCTCTTCTTCGCTCTCTCTCTCTGTTTTCTCGCTCTTCTTCGCTCTCTCTCTCTGTTTTCTCGCTCTTCCTCTCGCTCTCTCTCTCTGTTTTCGCTCTTCCCTTCTCTCTCTCTCTATTTTCTGCTCTTCTTCCCTCTCTCTCTCTGTTTTCTCTCTTCCTTCCTCTCTCTCTCTGTTTCTTTCTCTTCCTTCGCTCTCTCTCTGTTTTCCTCTTCTTCTCTCTCTCTGTTTTCTCGCTCTTCCTCTTTCTCTCTCTCTGTTTTCTTTGCTTCTTCCTTCGCTCTCTCTCTCTGTTTTCTTCCTTCGCTCTCTCTCTCTTTTTTCTCTTCCTTCCTCTCTCTCTCTTTTTTCTCGCTCTCTCTCTCTCTCTGTTTCCTTTCTCTCTCTCTCTCTTCTTCCTCTCCTTCCCTCTCTCTCTGTTTTTCGCTCTTCTTCTCTCTCTCTTCATTTCTTCCCTCTTGTTTCTCTCTCTCTGTTTCCTCGCTCCTTCCTTCCCTCTCTCTCTTTCTGTTTCCCTTCTCTCTCTCTCTCTTTTCCCTCTTCTCTCTCTCTCTCTGTTTTCTCTCTTCCTTCTCTCTCTCTCTCATTTTCTCTCTCTTCTTCCTTTTCTCTCTCTGTTTTCTCTTCCTTCCTTCCTTCTCTCTCTCTATTTTCCGCTCTTCCTTCCTTCCTTCCCTCTCTCTGTTTTTCTGCTCTTCTTCCTTCCTTCCCTCTCTGTTTTCTTCTCTTCCTTCCTTCCTTCCCTCTCTCTCTGTTTTCTCGCTCTTCCTTCCTTCCTTCCTTCTCTCTCTGTTTTTTTCTCTTCCTTCCTTCCCTCCCTCTCTCTCTGTTTCTCGCTCTTCCTTCCTTCCCTCTCTCTCTGTTTTCTCTCTTCCTTCCTTCCTTCCCTCTCTCTCTGTTTTCTGTTTCCTTCCTTCTTCCTTCCTTCCTTCCTTCCCTTCCTCTCTCTCTCTGTTTTTTCTTCCTTCCTTCCCTCCTTCCCTCTCTCTGTTTTTCCTCTTCCTTCCTTCCCTCTCTCTGTTTTCTTTTTTCCCTCTCTCTCTGTTTTCCTTCCCTTCCCTCTCTCTCTGTTTTTATTTCTCTTCCTTCCTTCCTTCCCTCCCCTCTCTCTCTGTTTTTCCCGCTCTTCCTTCCTTCCCTCTCTCTGTTTCTCTCTCTTCCTTCCTTCCTCTCTCCTCTGTTTTCCTTCTTTCCCTCTCTCTCTCTGTTTTCCCTCTTCCTTCCTTCCCCTCTCTTTCCCGCTC